AGAAAGAAAGAGATTGTTTGGTCTTGGATATTTGCCCCCTAGAGCTTCACTCCACCCCTTAATAATAACTCTCTCCACCCCTCTCCCCCCGCATCCAATGAATGAGTCATTAGGCTGCAGTTTCATCATTAAGTGCCTCAAATTAAAATTGCAGATCAAAGGACCACGATCAAACCCCGGATTGCAAGGGATAGGCAGCGCCTTAAGTAAACACATAAAAGGCAGAAGGCAGAGAAGGGGGACGTCTATCCAGGCTCTCTATTGGTTAGGCTGGTTTTTTGGTGACTGATGCTCAGACTTTTAAGAGCCTTTCTATTTTTTATTTTTTTTTAATCAAATAAGATCTGACAATGTTTCTAGCTTCGCATTAATGCCTCAGCCTTCTCATGTCAGTCACCTCTAAGCGATTTGACAAACTCAAGATCTCTTAAAACGGGAAGAGTTCAGATCATATTAATTCCCCAAAAATGTTTTGATTCAAAGTAGTTTGTATTTTACGTTGCCAAGGGCAATCGAGAAAGAGAGTGTGCCGATAGCCCGGGCCTTCTTTTTCTCTTCATGGCCCAGAGGCGATAGCAGTATTTAAGCTTCTGAAATTAGCCTGGGGCAGGGAAAGATGGATGATCACAAAGCGAAACAAGAGCCGCCCCCCCCCTTTCTCCTTTTTTTTTTTTTTTTTGAGTTTGCCATTTCATAAAACGACACAGGAGGGCCAAGTGTCACCGTGTTGTCTTTTTTTTAAAGGACTCCAAAATATTTAGTGCAGAAGCCACCAGTCTATCCCTCTTATTTACTCGTTCCAAGGCAGGCAAGCAAAACATACGAGACTCTTAAAAAAGAAAAAAAAAGCAGGTTCCAGGCTGATAATTGTCGTTTAGAGAGGAATTCCTAAAACAGAAAACTGATTTCTAAGAAACTATAAAAAAAGAGGGGAGGAAAACTGGGCGTGGCGGCGGGGAGTGAAAAAGATGTTTCTTTTTGCCGCCATCCTCAGCAATGATTAAAAATTGCAGACGACTCTTGTAAATAGAAGGTTTGCATCTTCGGGAGAGATTTCTTTTGAAAGGGCCGATCTGAATATTCAACTTTTAAGGCAAAGCTTCACTCGTCTGTATGTACAACATTAATATGATCTCTGCAGAATTTGGGCCCTCAGAAAGATTACCATATCAAAGCAGGCGCCTGCGGCTAGAGAAGCTATCGATACGCTCGCAGTAGGTAAAGTAAAGATTATTGGTTGTGATGGTGCGAGGAGCGGAGCTCCGGGCGAAATCCTGCACACCATTAACTGGAAGTGATAGCGGTGGGAGCTCGGCCACCGAATCGGGGGCAAATATTGGCTCTGGCTGGTAATTAGCTCGCCAACACCTCAGTCCTGCAGCCCCGACCTCCTCCCGCCCCCCTCACCGCCACCGCCCAAACCCACACAAAAGAAAAGGCCCCTTCCTGCCCGGGTCTCATTAAAAAGCAAACACTCCACATCAGGGCACCTCCAGTGTCTCAGCTGGGACAGGCCTAGTCGGAGGAGGAGGAGGAGGCAGGCAAGAGGCTGCATTTTGAGCAGACGGGGGTGGGCGGGCTCGGGCCGAGGACTATAGAAGGTACACAAGGGGGCTTGTGAAGAAGGCGCAGCAGAGACTGTACTTTTTGAGAATTCTAAGGAAAAACCATCTTCCGCAGAAACTGCTGCTTGCCTTCTATCACTGTGCCATTGAGAGCATGCTCACTTATGGCTTATGTGTGTGGTACGGAAGCTGTACTACCCAGGACAGGATGGGGTTGTGCAGAGTTGTTAAGGCAGCAGAGAGCATTGTTGGCTGCCCACTCTCCACCTTAGAGCAGATTTATGCCACAAGGTGCCATAGGAAGGCACTGGACATAGTAAAAGATCCATCGCATCCTGGTCACTGTCTCTTCGAGCTCCTGCCGTCGGGACGGAGATACAGGACGATGAAGACAAGAACAAGCCGTCTTAAGAACAGCTTCTTCCCCAGAGCGATCTCGGCCCTGAATGGGAAGCCTGGACTTTGAAAGTCATCTAATCTTCCTTGCTGTTTTATACTGTATTGTTTTAATTAGTGTTTTTATAGTTGATTTGATTTTGTGTGGAGTGCCCTACCTGGGTGGATGGAGCAGCCAAGTAATTTCGTTGTCCCCGAGAGGGGGCAATGACAATAAAGATATTATTATTATTATTATTATTATTATTATTGTTGGAAGCGGGGGGGGGGAGTAGGGGCACTTGGTTAGTTTTCGAAGAACAATTGGGCAATCTTGGCTGTAGGGCCAGAAGGCCCGGTTTGAAATGTACATGGATTTCCCCACTTACTTTCTGAGTATTTTGGAGTCGTCCTTTCAACTCGTTCATTTTCCTCTATATTGAAATTAAAGGGTTTTTTTTAATGTCTTGATGGAGTTAGATTTTCCTTCCTCTTTCCTCCCGCTTCTTCCCAAAGTGGAATATTTTCTCTCCCCCCCCCCTCGAATTCCCTCTCTTCTTAAAGCCGCTTTCCCCCCTCAGATAAAGACACCAAGCGCTTAAAATATGAGGGGAGCCCGGCTTCATATATTTGCATCGATGCAGCGAGAGAGAGAAAAGAAGGGCCCCCGCTGATTTATGCGGAAGGTTCCACAGCGCTCGGGATCCGCGCGCCTTGATGACTGCTAACACTTTTTCCCTAAGACTCACTTGACAAAATATTTATTATGTATTTCGAGGACTCATTTGAAACGTATAGGTTCGTCTTTGATATTTGTCCCTGATTTCACAAGAGGCGTTGCACGGAGGGCGGGGGATGGGGACTCAAGGTGTCGGAGCCATTCAGCTCTTAAGATGAGTAGAGAAACAGCCTCCTTGCATTTTCATGCTGGATTTTACCATCAGCCTTTAAATCCTTGAGTGACTCGGTCGCCTTTTGAAAAACGGAACGGTAAGGAGGGAGAGAGCAGCCTTGCTTAACTACAATCAGTCGCTCAGGTAATTGGAAGCTCCTTGCCAGGAGAGAGCTGGAGACGGCATCAACTCGATAAGAAGGACTCGAGAGGAAAAACCTCCTTCAGATGGGAGATTAGAGTCCAGTCAAGCAGTTACAGACACAGCACCTCAGTTGATGGGAATTCAGCATTTGCCGGTTTCTCCCCCTCAGGATCCAGCCCAAAGAAGCAAGCGCACTTGCTTATAATGAATATGAACCAAAATACAAGAAACCAACATGCAACTCCTCTCCCAACCTCTGGCGCTAAGGAAGGTGGAGATGATTGAATAAGAATGCATAACATATTGTCAAAACATTCCATATGGATTACTCCAGAGAGATAGACCCTTGCTCTTTTTTCCAGTATACAAGCTACAAATGTAACTTTTTTTAAAAAAATGTGTCACCCCTAGCTCTATTTATATTTCTCAAACCACACAATAATACCGCACATTAAGACGATTCTAAAAATCAGAAGGTACAGCCTTGTGTAAAGAGTGAGGGAAAACAACCGATTTACAATCCATTGAAACGGAAAGAAATGGATTTGGGGCCATTTATGGTTGATATTACAGTTTACGTTTCTGCAGACCTTGATCAAAATGTTAACAATAATATAAAAAGAATCCATCCGTTTGTTTAGAAGAAAATGACGTAGCTTTCACAGATCCCCACTTCCTAGAAGAACTGTAACCCTCAACATTCAGACGGGTTTTGGAGTGGGACTGTTATAAAGTAGCCACCGGCGCTCAACGGTCAAGCTTTCTCGCTGTTAGGAAAACTCACCGCCAAGGAGCTGTCCATTTCAGCACCAGAAGTATCCCTGCCACCGCCTCCTTACCCGCACCTTTAGAATATCTGCAGTCCGACAGGATTCAAAAGGCATTTCACCACTAGCGTGTTGCTGTGCTTCAAATAAGTTGTTATGACCTTATTACTATTTCAGTAACTTTAACCAAGACGGAAGAAAATTTCCCCTTGCTCATTTTGGTTTACCCTTCCTCCAAATGTCAACAAATAAAATAAATAAAACTATCTGGAAAACAGAACCGTAAATTATAGTTGAAGCAATCCTGTTGGAATCAGCCTATATTACACACGTGGCCCAAACGTTAGCACAGGATGGTTTCAATAGTTTCATCTTGTCTCCCTGTCATCGGTGATATATGGGGGAAACCCCATTTAACTTCATCCCTTCATTAATTTGTTCACATTTCGGGGGGAAATGTTTCCCTCCGTTTTCAGATGTAATCTTTGAATAAATTCTGTTCTCTGACATTTTTATTATCCTTCATTCTGATCAGACCGGTAACATATTGGCCTCACTATAGAGCCTTCTGCCTAAAATACTTGCGATTCACACAAGTTAATGAACTGACCCACCCCACCCCCTTTCATTCACCCAGTGCATTTTCAGTGCACTCCTATACATGTCTACTCAGGAGTAAGCCTCATTGAATTCACCGGTTGCCGTAGGATCGAAATGTGAGCTTATGGCTGGTGCTACTCCTCGCCCTGCAAAAGCCAGTAATTCGGGTTTCTGATACAGAGTAGGCTAGAAGACCACATCCTGATTTTTACAAAAGCTACGCTTCGGTTTTAAAACTTCCATCGCACATTGCCATTGAAGCCCTACTTGTCGTCCCCCCCCCCTACGTAAATAGTACCAGCAGCATACTGAGTTGAAAAGTTTACAAAACACGCGCGCGCGCACAAAATGAAATGGGAAGCGCAGGTGGCAAAAACAGCATCGCAAGATCATCCCAAGTAGAAAGCATAGCGGAGCGGGGCGGGGGTCGTCTTTCATTTCCTAGAGCTGCACACTAAACATGATGGCAACGTTTCCTTAAGGCCTCTTCTGTTTCTATTGGGATGGGGGCAATTACATGGATATAAAAGGCACCCAGAACCCGGTCACAAACTCCGCTATTTGTTTGGAAGTTGGCCCTAGTGGTTATTACACAATTTTAAGGCTTTCTGTTGTTAAAATAATAAGTAAAAACGTAGGACTCGCAACTTGCTTACCTCTCCTTATCACCCCACCTTGGCCGTTCAACACTAGCCCACACTGGGTCTCCACTGAGCCCTTGAATGAAGAGAATAAAATAAAATCAGATAAAGATCCGTACAGATAAATTGCATGGCTGGATGCATCGAACGTGATGCGTTTTAGAAGTGACTGTGTTCAGATTGCAACACAAAGAATATATCTCCTACGAAATATTTCAAAAACCATAGAATAGCACAGCATCTTCCCAGAACAAACAAACTCTGTTCTCAGATATGATCTTTTGTCTGAATGATTGATTGGCAGGCAAAGAGGAAGAGAGTCAGTATGGAAAGTTTTTGAAGGGATGTTTTGGAGGAGGAAAAAGAACAATTTTAAAAGAAAGTGGCAGCATACCTGTGGAACATATATACCCCTTTCAAGGTCCATGTCTAACGTATTAAGTGAACGTAGCATTCACGTGTCACACAACTAGGACCAGTTTGCAGAGACTGGTAAAAGCCAGACTTAGAAATGGGAGTTATAAAGAACGGCGACAGAAGGGGAACAATCGGGTGTTTCTCGATTTCTCGACTGGACTAAATTCTAGACTACGTTGTAGTAGTCCATTCCAACGACTGAGAATTTTGCTATCAACTTCAGTGGGATTTCAACATGCTCTGGTCAAAACCCTTTACAAACTGAGTTCCATATACTCTGGTTTCGCTTTATGTTGGGATACGAATTCTATCGAGAAGAAATCCCCCCTTTTTTCTGTCTATGTGTGTGTACATTTCTTCCACGCAACCTCTCAGTCCTTTTGTCCAGTGGCAATGTGTTAAAAGATGCATTTTCCTTTACAAACAAACGAGGTATTGGACATGAAAGAGGCCTCTTAAGGGTGTTAACCTACTCAACAGCCCGTGAAGAGTTAAGTACATGCGGAGAAAGAGTCGGTGCATAATAATAAAAAGCCCACTTTACAAAAACAACCTTTACAGTCCCGTCTCTCTCTTCCCCAAGCGCCCCCCCCCCCCGTTTTTCGGCATATTGACGCTGGCCTAGAAAACCCCTTTCAAGGCCTCTTTTGAGTTTTAGTGTTCTGCCTTAAAGTGATTATGAAATCAATATGGGGAAAAACTAGGCGACTGAGCATAAATTAAAGCGGTGATGGGAAAAGGTGTGACAGTTTCCTTTGTTGCCCATGGAAAATCTTTTTAGGGGTCTCAAAGATGCCCATTCCGGCTCCAAGACTCCTTGCATCTGTTAGGCTGGCTTAAACAGCCTTCCAAACTATTGGACTTTCACTTAACATTCTGAGCAGGGGAAAGTATATTTACATTTGTTGCATTAGAAATGAGGCATATGTTGATGAAGAAAGTGGAAAGCGGGCGGGGGCGGAGATGAAAAAGAAAAGGGAAAGACTGGCTACGAGTTGGAGTTCTTCCTCCAACCTTGGTCGGGCAGCAACCCATTTTGTCACCAAAAAAACCCTCCCCTATAAAACATAAGAAGCTGAAATCAACAAGCTTCTTTTCAAGCGTCGAAAAGAAAAAGCTACAAAAATCAATGCAAATTCACAAATAGTGGTTCCCCCGCCTCCCCCTCGCGCCACTTTCGAAATCCCACATTTGTAACTGTGAAGAAACTGATGACTATGTAAGGAAATAGCATCCATGTATAATGAGTATAACAGACATTATGCATCATGCATAACTCAAAACTAAAACAGGGTTTTGTTAAATTTGATTTTTATGGCATTTTTTTTGTAGCGCTTCCCCGCCGCCGCCCCCCACAAAACAGAAAGAAGGAAAGACGACCTCGTGCTATTCTCTCCACTATTTAAATTTAAGACAAAAAATGATTTTTTAAAATCGTTAAAATGATTCCTAAGCATGAACCTGCCATCTCAGTCTCGGCAAAAGGAGGTTGGAAGGGAAGCGCGTTGTTTGGTCGGATGACATTGCATAAGTGACCAGTTGAATGGCACTAAGTCGAAAATTGGATAAACTATGGTGCTTTTTTGCACAGGATTTAGGCATTGTGCGCTGCCTTGCAAACGTCTCTAATCCCTCCTTTTGAAAAAAAAATACAAGGCTTTGTGCTCCGCATAGAAAAAAAAATGTACAGCTAAAAAAATCAGCAGCAGACGTGGTTATATAAAAAAAGGAGAGTAAATAGGTCTTAGTGAAGCGAAATAGTGAATGGCAGATTTGGGAGAAGGAGTGATGAGGAGGAACATAAGGGAAGCCCTGTTGAAAATGGGGAGGGGGCGGGTAGAGACAGAAGCGTGGAAAATGATTGAGTGAATTTCAATGCAGAAAGTCAGGTTTTAGGGAACTGTTCTTCATGGGCCCAAATGATTTTATTCTTGTGCAAATTCCAAAATATGTGTGTGGGAGGCCTTCCTTTTATATGGTACACATACAAACATTTTCTTTATCCTCAGAGAGGAAATTATATATATATTTTCTGATAAGAAATCTGGGGCGGGGTTTGAGGGGAGAAGAAAGGACAATAAAAGCAACTTAGAATTTACTCTCTGTAAGTAAATAGAACCCACTTCATTGCGTGAAACTACACTCCTTCCTAATAGGCTTGATAGAATTTCACGTTCTCTCTCTTTTACTATGTATTATAACTATGTATTAGTTATTAGAACTATAGTTAGTTATTATAATACATTGTAACTATTATTAAAAGTAGTTAATTCCATCAAAACACACCTTCACTTGATGCTGATAGCTTCTTGACTAGGAAACTTTCGAATTTTGTAAAACTAGAGATCTGTGTGTGTCACAGTCAGCGAAAGAGAGGTGCAACAGAAATAAACAGATGAGTATGTTGGAGAGGAAGAGAAAAACAGGTGTTTGCGTTGGAGAGGGAGAGACATTTAGGGAAGAGATGTGCATGCGTATGTGAACACGGGGGGGGGAGCGGATGATTGGGTTAACGAATGGATGGATTTGCAGATCTATTTCAATATTTTACAGCTAGTTTTTAATGCTTCTGCTGGCTCCCTCACTGCCATAGGTAGGACCCGCAGTCGCCTTCCATGAGCTACTGCTCTTGTGCAGTTCTCTTTCAGAGATATTTCTGCCTGTCTGGTTCAGTTTTAATTTTGCAGAGCGGAGTGGAGGGGGGTGTTTGGAGGGATGCGATTGTCTTTAGGGGAGAGACCTTTGATTTCTGCCTGTCTAATCTGGATTAGCTAATGTCCCCGCCCGCCCTCGGCCGCAGGCAGCTCGCAGGTGAGAGGCTCCTCCGCCCGCGTAGCACTTTCTCTCCTGACCAGAAGGTCGCCGAGCTCTCTCTCGACAGCCGGGGGCCGGGTGGGTGGCAGGCGAGTGCGGGCCAGGGGTGGGAGCAGGAGCCGGGCGGCGGCGGCGGCGGGAAGGCGACGTGTGATTTACCTGCAGGTCGTCCGCTCCCGAGGCGGCCAGCCCAAGGCTTGGTCCTGGCAGGAGTCTTTGATCGGGGTGCATCCCATATTGGGAGCCATGGCTCATAAGAGACAGGTCGTGGCGACGGTAGGCGTCTAGGCAGCCCAGCTCCCTCCTCTGCTCGTCCAAGCAGGACGACTTGAGCGCCCGGGCGTTGTGCAGGTTGATAAAGTCGGTGGGTTCTCCATGGTGGATCTGCTGGTAGTACTGCTGCGAGTGGTGGAGCGAGTTCAAGGAGTAGGCGTCGGGGTTGACGGCCGGGTGGCTGTGTTGGAACTCGTAGTGGAAGGACTGGTGGTGCAGGGGGGTGTACTGGTGGTTGGTGGAGAAGTAGGGGGAGGCGAACTCAGTGCCGGTGGTGGAGTAAGTGAGGGGCGACGTGGAGGAGTAGGCGACGGTGGAGTTGGCCACAGACTCCAGGCATCCCAGCTGCATCAAACGATAGCTGTTTGATCCGTCATGACGTATCTGAAAGGAAGAAGGGAAAAGGTAACCCAAATACTGCAGGCTGGTCATCGGAAAAGAGCGGGGCTCCAACAGCACCCTGTCCCGCCTAGCTCCCCCCCCCGCAACCCTAGCCAAAGCTCCTCTAGAGTTAGCGCCGGCAACCCCATACACCTTGGGCTGGTGCCCTGCAAGTCAGCACTAGAGGTTTAAAGAGGGAGCGAGAGAGAGACCCCTACGTAGGAAAGCGAGGCGTCCACACAGCTTGGAAAAGAAAGCTGCTACTTCACGGTGATGGCTGCTTGCGGAGGAAACCCAAAGTTACCCAACACAAACGCTGCAAAACTCCATATCCGTCTCAAGCGGAGAAGGACTGATCTCCTCCTCTTACGGTCCTAACTCTCTCAGCAGACATAGGTCTCTCTCGATAGATACCAGGCACCGCGTCTCTCTCGGTGCGGCTCGACTCCCTACATGCCTTTAACCCTTCTTGGTAAAAGATCTAGGTCCAAAACCTTCCCCTTCCGACAACCTGAGTAGGAGTCGATCGTTTGCTGGCCCCCGGATTCCCATTGCGCGCTCTCGCTCTCGCTCTTTTTCTCTCTCTCCGGCTATTATTAATAGTATTTGCCACCTTCCGTTTCACGGCATTATTGGGGCCATTAGCCTGCTTTCTTTCCGGCAACCGTTTGAATGCGGCAATGGGTTTGCCCCTTTCCTGGCGACAGATGTCATAACGAATTTTCGCCCTTTACTTCTCGAAGTTCTCTCTGAAGCCGGATTATAATTAAATGTAACGGTCCAATGTGGATTAACAAAAAAATGGAAACAACCACACACAGGCACACTCGACCGTACACACACACACACGCATGCATAGGCACACACACCCGCACACACGCGCGCACACACACATCCGCACACACGCACACAGACACACACAAAATACCTCCGCATCGTGGACGAGTCCTGGAAAGGTAGTTGACATTTTGGGTTCTCCGAAAGAGGCTCTGATTAAATCCCTTCTCCAAATTTAAAAGGAAAGAAAAGACACCAAAGCAACCACCAAACCACGAACAGTTTTTAAAAATCAAAAAATTGCAGTCCTCTCCTGTTTCCCACAGACGTGAAAAATATATATACATATAGAGAGTATTTCTATCTAAACACAAAGAGGCTTTGCAACGTGTCTGCATAGGTCTCCCGCTTTTTTCCACCGTGCACCCTTTTAAAAACCTGTAGGAACAATTTTTCCCTCTGCACAAAAGCAGCTCCCCGGATCAGATTTTGTACTTGCAGGGTATTTCTTTGGCTGATGTCGTAGGTCCCTTGGTAATATAGAAGTTTTGAAAATTAAGCATCAGCACTGAGAACTGGGAGGACAATAGATAGAGCAGCTTCATCCCAGGAGACAAGGAATAAATATTGTATCTTCGCCTAATAAGGAACTGTAGGTTCTTTCAACGTTTTTATACATTTTTCCTTCACTCTTTTAGAAGGCTTCCCCCCACTTTACTCAGGCTAATGTGGGACCTAATCTTTTCGAAAGGGGCCTTTTTAGGAACATATGATTGAGGTGAACTAGAGCTAATACATAAAACAAACTAGATTAATTAAAACCATCCTTTTTCAGTTGGTGAGTGTTTCTTCTTGCTGGCTGTGGCTATCCACCCCCCCCCATATTGACCAAAACACAAGATTAGCATGTATGTAACTGGATTTCCCCCGTCCTCCGAATTACACCAGCGCATTTATATTTCTTAGAGAAAATAATAAATCGAATTGAAGTCCACCCCCCGCCCCCCCCGCCACCTTAGTCAGATTGTTCGATATGGGGCAACTTAGATGAAATCACACTGGGCTTTTGAAACAGAATTTCAAAGAAACAACTTATCTGAAATGTGTCACTGCGGTTAAGTGTCGCTGCCGTGCATTAGAGATATAGATATATAGATATAATATAAATACATACATATATATACATATAGGGCGATACCGGGAGCAGGAAGACACCCCCGCGCGCCCCCGCACCCACACATGACACGGGGTAAGAGAGCTAAAAACCTGGAGATTTGTGAGCGAAAAGGTGAGAAAGATTTGAAGCCTCCCGCCCCAACTTGGAAGTGTCTATTTGAAGTGCGATTTGTTTTATTTTTCAGACAGCTAATTATGGCCGAGTTAGCATTATGGCCGAGTTTAAAACTACGTGCATGTATTTATTTGCAACCATCCCGGGAGTTAATTTCTGGGGGCGCGTCCGCTTTCTGCGGGAGAATCATCTAAGCCCCGTTTTCTGCTCGGAGGAACCGCAACTGAAGATTCTCGCTCGTCAGGGCGCGCCTGGCGAATGCTCCAAGGAAGGATCTGAGGCAAATGGCATTTCCTGCCGCTGCTGTGCCTCTCTGCTGATGGCGAGCTTAAATTACAAGCCTTGGAGACAGAAGCGGGTGTAACTCGCTTTTAATTGCCATTTAATTTGGTTCGCTTTTAAGTGTTTAAACCGCGAAGGTGTCTTAATAATAAGCCGCAGGCAAACAGACATGTGGTTCTTTTTTAAGGTCCAGGTTTGGGGAGTGTTTATTGGTATCTGTTCATGCAGGCTAACAGGAGCTGTCATTCAAGCCTCTATTCTTTATCCAAATGGACAAAGGCACACGACTCGAATAGAAATGCATTGTCTGAAATGGAAAAGTGCGATTATCCAGACCGGCACAGGGGTCAGCAGCAAACACTTTTTGTGGCCTCCCCAACCTTCTCTTTAACGGGATGGGGTGGGGCGGGGGGGTTCTAAAACTCCTTCGCAGAAAGAAAAAAGAAAGAAAGAAATTACACCTGACATTTTAAACAGGAAATTCCATTAATTACTGACATCTCTAATGTTTCTTTCCCCAGGCTCTGGACAACTTTGGTGGTAAAGATTAGGAAATGGGAGACAGTACATAAATCAGTGAAATCTTTCCCCTGCAAAGACTGAGTTTGTCCAGTGATCAGGCTACCCCGGTTAAGACGCTCCCGTCCACCCCCTTCCTAAGCGGAGGCGCCTTCAGGAAAGAGCAGGGACTCCTCTCAAGTCACCTCCTTTTAAAGGATCCTGCTTCCCCACCAGACGAGAAGAGCCACCAGTCCCTTGGGATAACCACGATTATTCACCCCACCCTGGTTTATGACCATCTATAACGCCGAAGGGTATTATTTTGTTTTATGAGAGCCTGGATCGCCCTTCTGGCTCGCAAGAGTAGATGAGCACGTCGGAAGCGTGGAACAAAGAAAGAAAGAAAGAAAGAAAGAAAGAAAGAAAGAAAGAAAGAAAGAAAGAAAGAAAGAAGAAATCTTGTTCATGGCTAGGTTCCACTCAAATGCGTCTATTCAAGTGTAACATCGGACAACTAAATACTTGATTTGTTTGTGTGGAAACCTTACCCACGTCAAACTGGATTTCCAGGAGAATGTGCGGAGGATAGCATCCTTACAGCCCGATTCTCTATACTTCCCTCTCACCTGGAAGGTAACCCCTACGGATTTCAAGTGAGGTTCTGCTGCTTTAAAAGCAATTTAGTTTTGCACACCTCAGGTGTGATTCTTCTTGTCATCAACTGGACGTACTTCTAAGTGAGTGCCTTGAGAGTAAGATGGAAATAGACAGGAAGCGAACCTAGGTGCGCTTACTTGGAGATGAGATCCATAGGAAATAAGATTCAAGTTGGTGATGGCCACCAACTTGGATGACTTTAAAAGAGAATTAGGGAAATTCAGGGAGGAGGAGAGGGCGACCAACGGCTACGAGCCGTGATGGCTTTGTTCTGCCTCCGTTGCCAGGGGCAGGGCGATGCATCTGAATACCGGAATCGCAGGTGGGCAGAGGGCGCTTGCGCTCAGGTCCTGTCTGCGCGCTTCTCATCAGCATCGAACTGGCCAGTGTGAGACAGGATGCTGGACTATGAACCAGTGACCTGATCCAGCAGGCGCTTCGTATGTTCTTGAAATCAAGCGTAGGTTAGTAATTGGTCGGTTGCTGCAAGGTCTTAAGAGTTGAGGATCTAGTTCACATTCAGTCACGAAACTCTGTAGGTAAGGGTTCTGACAACCTGGTGTGATATGACACTTAATCATTGTTTCCCCTCAACGTCATAGAAAGTGTCAGTTCGACGCCGGAAAAGCGAGTGGAGAAAACGCGCGACGTCCTTTCCCATGCTGGCAAAGAAAACAGCCAAATGGAGACAAAGTTTGCATGTTTTATCTTACTTGTCCATGTTTAGGCTGGAGAGCTGTTTTCACTTTTCTACAGCCTAAACAAGGCAAGACAGGCGTGCAGAAATGAGACTGACAGTTTCCTAGGCATGGAAACAACTTCCTCGACAAAGCAGGGACTCCCCAGGAAGAGGATTTAACTCCTCCCTTTCCACAACAACAACAACAAAAAAGGCACTCCTCCACCGTCGCGTAAACACTAGCGGGGTTACCAAATCCTGGATCAGACCCGCAACAAGGACCAAGGTTTCTGCCCGGACTGGGGAAAACGTTTAAAGAACAGCCAGTCAGAACAGATGAATTTGTCCTGCCAGTTCTTTTAATATGGAACGTAAGTTCATACTAAGCCCAGTTGAGCCGTGGCTCCATCTACAATGCGAGGCAGCGGCCCTCCGGGGCCTCGGAAGGGTCTTTTCCATACACACACACACCCCGGAAATGTCGGGGGTTGAACCTGGCTGGGATCTTCTGCACGCAAAGATGCGTTACCGCTGCGTTACAGTCCTTCCTACGCCCTCGATTTGTGTTGCTCTCGAAACAAACCAATAAACACACCCTCTCCTCCACAATCTTGGCCAAATCCATATTGATGAACGGAGTCAAAGCTGTGAAGCAACCGACTGATTGCTTGTCAAAGGCAAGGAAACGCCTTGTTTCCTACTATAGTATGTCAATCCCGTCCTAAGCAAAGCAATGCTAGACTATCATCCTAAAGACGCAATAATTGAATGCGTTACAGTTAACAAATGCAGGTCTACTCCCAAGTAAGTCCCACTGGAATCAATTCCTCGCAAGTAAGTGTGTACTGAAGGGCACTCCCAATGTGTAGTTTAGTTTTCTAGCTAGCCTATTCTCTCGAAGACTTCTTTCAGTTTTAGCCTGTGAGGGAGGATTTCAGTGGCACTTTTGATTTCTTTGACAGTTTGCGGGATTATGGAAAGAAATGGGTCTTGAACGCCTGGCTTTTCTCTCAAAACAAGGCATTCAGAACACGGAAGGCCAAAGCTGTGGTTTTACTGTGTGGTGCTGCGGAAACCACCCTAAGCTATTGGTCACCTCCCTTCTCTCTATTTTAATTAGAAAGTCTGCGGGATATATTGGGGGGCTCCTCCGTTTGAGTAGCCAGTGACCAAGAGGAGCTGATTCAGTTCTCAGAGACAGCTCGAGAAGCTTGTTCCACACTATCAGTTTTGCCTTCTTTCTCCCAACCACTCTCTGTCCGGATTAGTTGACTCATTTTATGATCCACAGGCACTACTATAATTTCCCCTAAGTCAGGGGTGCCCAAACATTTTTCAAAGAGGGCCAAATTTGATGAAGTTGATGAAGTGAACATGCGTGAGGGCTGAACAAAGTAGTTGAGCTTTTTTTAGGATTTGACCCCAATAAGTAAACTGCCATGGACTTTGGACATGTCTGCCCTACTACGTCAAGGACTGTTTGTGGGAGGAAGGCTGGGAAGGAGCCACCATCCATTCAGACTTATTTGTTGAAAGGTTCCTGTTTAGATGAGAGGTGGGCAATCTGTGGCTCTCCTGATGGTGCTGGACACCAACTCCATTCAGCCCAGGCCGAATGTGATGGTGGAAGCATAGGCCACACCTGCCACAATTATTCAGTAG